GGCCTTTGTCCCTTGTACCCTACTGCCAGGAATACTGGCTCCAGGACTTTGGCCAGCCTGTGATGGGTTGGGGTGCCCTGCCCAAATCACGTTGCAGGCTTCAGTTTCCCCACCAGCTCCTGGGCAGGGGTGGGGAGGGGAACAGAGCTTCTCTTAGGGGTGATGAAGCTCCTGGAAGCTGGCTGGGGGTTGGGGTGGCGGTGGGCCCACCCACCCACCCCTGCCGCCACCTCACCACCCGCCTCTGACCCAGACTTCGTGGTGCTCGATGACTCTCTCCACGTGCGGGCCACCTACATCTCGGGCGAGTTGGTGTGGCAGGCGGAGGAGGCCAGGCAGTGACCAAGGACCACAGCCGGAAAGGATACCCAGCCTTAGCTGGACGCGGTCAGGGCTGAGTCGTGGAGGAGCTGGTCTCCAGGGAGCGAGTGGGCGCCCTGCCCCAGGTGGAGGCCTCCGCTCAGGAGGCAGCTGGATAAACACGCGCCCAGCAGGGACTTGTCTGGTCTCCGAGTGTTGCTTCAAAGCAGGGCGCCGTCACCTCGGTGGCTGTCTGGGTGGTGGTGGGGGGGGTGGATTGGGAGTGGGAGTGGCTGGATTCTGGCTCATCCCAGCTCTCTGGAGGCCCCTGTCTGTGGCACAGATGTGTCTGAGGCCTGCAGACCCACAGGCAGAGGTGCTGGTTGGAAATGATTGGAGGGTGGGTGGGGAAGTCCTGGGCTGTAGGTTGGGAAGTGGACCGGAAGGGGCTTGGGGACAGAGTGCAGATAGCTTCAGAAGTTCATGTGTCAGGGGACCGAGGGGAAAGGGTACTTCTTGCGATTTTAAACAAGGAGAGAACTGGCTGTGCAGGCAAGTTAGCTGGGGCTGGAGGAGCTGGGTGTAGGAGGGGCCTCGGGTGGGCAGCGCAGAGGGTTTGGAGGGCTACTGCATGAGGATGTCCCAGGGGCTCACTCTGCACCCTTGAGTTGGGTAGGCAGAGTGGGGGGCCAGGGCCATAGTGCCGGGTGCTCCTCCCCAGCCTTCAGGGGGCATCCGCGCTGGCCTCAGGACCCCAGCTCGCCTGGCTGTGAGTGCAGGAAGCAGTGGCCAGGGGCCCCTGAGCTGACCCTGGCCACTGCTCTCGCCCAGCCCGCAGCCCTACTTCTTTGAGCCCTTGGGATAATCAAGGCTCCACTTCCTGGGGTGTTTTTTCTGAACAACCCCTTCTCCTGACCCTACTCCCAGGTGGGCACGATGATCCCCCTTGCACCCTGGTGTTTGCACAGCTGGAGGTGACCCTGCCTGGTGCTGGTGGGCAGCTTGGGGGTCACCAGTGTTCTGAGCCCTGCAACTATTTTCCCGTTAGTGTCATCCCGCAGCCTTCCATGTCCCCTCCGTCCTGGCAGCGGGGTCCCCACGTTGGGAGCGTGGGCTGTTGGGTTCTCTGAGAAGGATAGCTGTGGGGCAGGTGGGCTCTGAGGAGCCGTGCAGGTCCTGAGGACAGCCGTGACATGGGAGTCGGATGGCAGGGGTTGGTGTAGCCCCAGATCTGGGGTTGACTTTCTCCCTCATCGTGTCCTGGGCAGCACCTCCACCCTTTCTCATGGCTGTAGTCCTTGGAATAGGAGGTTGAAGGCGAGTGTCCCAGGACGCCGTGGTGTGGCTTGGCCACCCTTCCCCTTGCCTCTGCCACAGAGCACACTACAGGAAGCGTCTCCAGGCCCAAAGTGACAAAAATGGGCCACGGGTTCTGGCTGTGTTTGTGGGTGAACAGCCTGGGGAGAACCGGCACCATAAGGCAAGACTCAGGAAAGGCCACCTGCAGGGGTACCAGGGGACTGGGTCTCAGGCCACATGCCCATGGGGTGCAGGGACTTCTAGGCCCAGCAGGTGACAGAGCAGAGCAGTTCCTGGAAGACAGCCACCTGCTCCACCCTGGTTGGAGGGAGCAGAGGAATGTCTCCAAAACACATTCAAAGCTGAGTGGTGGGCACTTGCCTTGTTTGGTGCTAGGCCTAAGTGCATTACCAGCGTGAACCCATTCTTCTCTGCCAAAAATCTAAAGGAGTTTCCTGTTTGTCACCCCCATTCTCAGATGGGGAAGCGGGCACCTGATTCCAGAGCTGGGGAGCACCAGAGCTAGGATTTGTCCTGGCCGCCCTACCGGGGGCCCTCCCTTAAACCTGTCACCACGCTGCCTCTCTGGGTGGAGAATCTGGGAAGTGCTAGTTGAACTCGGGGTCAGCAGGGGTGAGGCACCTGTGCAGGTTGGGAAAAGCACTCTAGGCAAGGGGAAACTACCCCACGAAGATCCCGTGGCACTCTTCGCTGGAAAGGGGTGCAGCCATCACCACTGTCATCCGCAGAACTTCACCACCCCAGGAGAAGTTCTGTTCCCTCTAGGTACTGTCCCTGTCCCCCCATCCCCTCCAGCCTGGCACCGACCACTCCACTTCTGATTCTGAGGCTGCAGGGTTTTAAACAAGATGTGCTGCCGTTTTGTTAGACCCCCCAGCAAGGAGACTCTGAGGGGCTGACTGTAGGGTGGCAGTGGGGCTGGAGACAGGTGAAGCGGGGGACAGGCATGCTCTAGTGTTGGTGTAGAGTAGGCTGCGAGGGGTGTGCCTGAGTCACTGGTGGGTGGGGGTGACATTTTCACTGAGGTGGGAAAGCTGGGGTGGGATCCTCGGGGGGGTGACCTGGCGTGCAGCCCGCACCTTCGTGGCTTGCTCTGTGTTGTACGTGAGTGGAAGGACCAGGGGACCCGGTGGTGCTAGGACCCGGTGCCGGGGCCGGAGCGTCGTGACTCTGCGGAGTGGGACGAGGGCCCCCTGGCGGCAGTGCTTGGGAGCTGCGGAGGGGTCCACTTGAGGGCCCACGACTGCGCCGAGTGCACGCGGGTTCGAATCCAGGCGCTGAGGCGTCCCTTACGAAGTCTCGGTCTCCTAGTCGGGTTGACGGGTCCCGGAGGATCTGGGTGGTCCAGACCGGAGAAGCCGGCTTGGGGGTGGGGTGGAGGGGGAGACGGTATCAACCGCGGTGCACGGTGACTCTGGCCCGAGCCTGTCCGCCGCGGGCCCGGCCTGCGGCTCAGGCGCCGGGTCCACGCGGACCCAGAGATACAGTAAGAGCTGCGGCGCACGGGGCTACGGCTTGCTGCTGGAGGGGCTCCTCCCTGGGGGACGGGCTCGTGCCGGGGCCAATGAGGATTGTCGTGCGCAGCGACGCGCCGCGGCCGAGTGGCTGGGGGTCGCGTCCGCCTCTTACCCTGTCCCGGATTAAGGGACGGATCCGGCCTCGGCTCCGGCGGGTGCAGGGGAACCGGGGGCCTCGTGCCCCCCGCGCGCTGCGGACCCCACTGCGCCCCGGTCCGCCCGCCTGCCTCTCTGCGCGCCTTCCCGCCCCACCGCTCCCCTCCCTCCCTATCGCCGCCCTGTGAATCCCCTGCGCCCCAAGCCTCCTCTCCCCGCCCCGCCCTCGTTGGCGTTGGGGAGTAGGGTGTGGGTTCCCCGCCGGCCCCCTTTCACTGCCTTTCCCAGTCTCGCCCCAGCTCCGAGCGTGTGCAGGGTCGGGGGTGCGGGAGCGGCTGGGTACAGTAGGGGGTGTGGCACCGGGAGGGTGGGCAAAGGGCGGTTCCACTTAGCCCCTGCGGCACCCCCTTCGCCCCCTGTCGTCCCCAGGCAGCCCGGTGCCCGGAGCGATGGCCCTGAGTCTTGCCTGCCTCCCACTCCCGCACCATTAAGAGCTTGGTGTGCTCCTTCCAACGTGATCCAACATACCTTGTTCTAGGTTTATGTCTTGGTTTGTTTCATAAACTGGAATTGTACTTTTGATACTGCTCTGCTAGTAACTATTTTTTAGTTAAGCAGCCTGAAACGGAAAGCTGCCTGGGTGGGGACACGTGGAAATGTCTCTGTACTTGAACAAGGTCCCCAGTGTTCTCGAAGATGGATGTTTCATAACGTTAACCAGATCCCAGCGTGGACCAGTCGGGTTTCTCCCCCCGCCAAACCCCAGCCCCGAGGAGGAGGGACCATGGAGTGATGGGCAGGGAGCTCTGGGGCCCCAGATGCCCAAGCGTGTCTAGGAGGCGGGAGGAGACCCGGTGTAGGCGCTCCTTTACGCCCTTTGGGTTCTGGGTTTGCGTGTATTCGTTTTCTCGTGTTCCTGTAACAAATTACCACAAATTAGGGGTTCAAAAGAACACATTTATTTTATAGCTCTGGAGGTGGGAGTGAGAAATAGGTCTCGGGGCTGAAATCAAAGTGGTGGCAGAGCTTTGTTCTCCCTAGAGGTGGCGGGGGGGGGGGGGGTCCTTCTGTTCCCAGCTTCCAGATGCTGCCCACACTGGTGGTCTCGTGGTTTCTTGTATTTGCTGAAGCCAGTGCTGGCCAGTCGTGCTGTTCACGTTGCCTCATTCGGGCTCTGACTCTTTCTCTTCTATCTTTTAAGGACTCTTGTGATTATATTGGGCCGAGCTGGATGATCCTGGATAATCTGCCTCTTTTAAGGTCAGCTTATTGACAACCATCATCCTTCCTTTCTATGTGATGTAACATGTTCACAGGTTGGGTGAACAGGACATGGTCATTTCTGGTGGAGCTGTTATTCTGCCTGCCTCCTCATCCAGAGAGAGGGGCCTGGGCCACGGCTCCCTACTGCCTGGGTCTAAAGGAGATACTACATCCCTATCATCAGGGTACGAAGGTGCTCCTTTCACTACATGCTTATCAACACTGGATGTTTTCAGTCTTTGGGATTTTGACCAATTTTTGGAATCAGCCCATTTTACAGCTGGGGAAGTTGAGACTTAGGGAGGGAAGGTTACTCACCTGAGTTTTGTTTTTTTTTATTCATGAGAGAAAGAGAAAGGCAGAGGCAGAGGGAGAAGCAGGCTCCCCGCAGAGCAGGGAGCCCGATGCGGGACTCGATCCCAGGACCCTGGGATCATGACCTGAGCCGAAGGCAGATGCTTAACCGACTGAGCCACACAGGCGCCCCTCACCTGAGATTTGATGCAACTTTCTGTTTCCTGTCTCCCAGTCTAGTTAAAATATTTTTTTCCATGTAGCACAATTTATATGAGAAGATATTTTTCCAGGTGGCTTGGAAATTATTGGCTTTGGCAACTCTCTCTCTCTTTTTTTTTTTTTTTAAGATTTACTTATTGGGGCGCCTGGGTGGCTCAGTAGGTTAAACATCTGCCTTCAGCTCACGTCATGATCCCAGGGTCCTGGGATGGAGTCCCGTGTCAGGCTCCCTCCTCAGCGGGAAGTCTGCTTCTCCCTCTGACCCTCACCACCTCTTATGTTCTCTCACTCTCTCAAATAAATAACTAAAATCTTTAAAAAAAAAAATGTAAAAAAAAAAAGTTGGATGCTTAGCCCCCTGGAGCCCCCAGGGTGCCCCTCCCCACCGCAAGTCAAGCCTTTAGATGGCTCAGCTTTCCCTACTCTCTCGACTGCGAATTCCTGAGAGACCCTGAGCGGGAACCACCGCGGCCAAGCTGCTCCTGGCTTCCTGACCCACAGAAACCATGAGATCGTAAATGTTTCTTGCTTGAGGTCTCTGAGTTGGGGGATAATTTGTTACAGGGCCTGGGTGGCTAACACGTTAGCTGTGTGATGCTGGGCAAGTCCCATCGCCTGTGAAGCTGGGTTCCCTCCCTTGGGCCACCGCACTTAAGAGCAGTAAGTGACGCACGGGTGAAATGCCACAGGCCATGTGGAGCACAGCGCTGACCGCCCCCACGCAGGCTGTGTATATACGGCAGCCTTTCAGCCTCTCCTAGCATGGTTATCATCCTCCTGTCCCTCCTCGGGTGGAACATGACCTCACAATGTCAAGCCAAGCATCGCATTCTTGGCCAGCGACAGAGGCACTGGGCAGGGAAAGGAGAGATAAGAGCCAGGGGCTGTCCCTCTTCTTCGTCCAGCCAGAGTGCCCGTGAACTGTGCGGGGCCAGGTGAGTCCATGTCCCCTCCTGCTTGCTGTCCCAGGATCTGCAGCCGGACCTGACCCATGGCAGGGGTGCCCTGCCTCTCGCTAGGTGAGAGGGGTGGCCTGGCCTGGCTTTTGGCTTGCACAATGGCTGCCATCGAGGCCCCATGAGAACTGAGTACTGTTCTTGTTCCTCTTTCCGAGGCTGCTCCCTGCCCTGCCCCCGCTGCCTGCTCAGCGGCTTTCCGCAGGCCTCCAGCCTGCCCCTCTCCCCTCACACCTTCCCCTGAGGCCACAGAGGATGCCTGCCCCACCTGCTGCTCCAGGGGGCTGTAGGATTCCCCGCGGACTTCTCCCTCTCGGTTTTTCCCCCTCCCTGTTGGTCTTTGAATTCCCGAAGAACTACACAGCCTTGCTTTGGTGTAAGTGACTCTGAAAAAAGAAAAAAAAGAAAAGCTGAAGACTTCAGTTTGGTTCATATTCTGTGACTTGCCTCTTTACCTTCACTCTCCGTTAGACCTTTACCCTCTTCTTTCCAGTAGCTGCATCGAATTCTCCAGGATGAACGTACCATAATTTATTTTACCATTCTCTTGTTGATAAATATTTTGGTTCTTTTTTTTCTTTTTCTCTTTTATTATTTGCTTCAGGTTAAAGTTACGCCGTCACGAACATTCTTGCGCAGTTTTACCTTCGTGAGTGAGAGCTTCTTAGAATCTCCGGGAAGAAGATACACCCACTTTATTAATTTTTATTTGCATCAATGTTTAAGAAGCCAGATAGTTGTAAAAAGGCTTGTAGGGGCGCCTGGGTGGCTCAGTCGTTAAGCGTCTGCCTTCGGCTCAGGTCATGATCCCAGGGTCCTGGGATCGAGCCCCGCATCGGGCTCCTGGCTCAGCGGGGAGCCTGCTTCTCCCTCTCCCTCTGCTTGTGTGCACCCCCCCCTTTCTCTCTCATATAAATAAATAAAAATAAAGAATAAAATAGAAATAAAAAGGCTTGTAATGCAGAACAGCAGCCGGTGCCTCACCTCTCCCCCCTCCTCACATCCCACTTACTACTGGTTTAAATGTTCTTTTTGCTGTGTATGTCTATCTTTCTAACGAATATTCTCCCACTTTATGTCTGGACTCATCACTTACAGCCATTATCTAGTGCCTGTCTGTTAGAAGAGGTGAGGATTCAGCTGTCTCATGCCCCCTCTCCTCTGGGTCCTTCTGAGGTAAAGGGTGATGATTACTGGTTGAATCCGTGCACCTGTATTATGACTGTAAATATCCCTCACAGCTGCGAAGAGTGAGGCGCCTGGTAAACGGTGATTTTGCTTCCTTCCTGATAGGGCTCTTCCTCTGGAGTTTTCTTGTCTCTCTGTCGCTTCTTAATTCAGTTTTTTTATGTGGCGAAAGCCATGAGAGGATCTATCATTTTCAGCTTCTTTCTGGAGCCCTCCGAAGCCTGCTTCCCTTGGGTCTGTGTGCTCCTTGTTCTTATCCTGGGATTTCTCCTCATTATCCATTTAAAATTTTAAAATTGCACCTTTCCCCCAGGCACTCCTGAGGCCCCACTGATTTTCTTTCTTCCCCATAGCACTAACTGCCTTCTAACATCCGGGAAGATTTGCTTATTCATTTGTCTCTCCCACCCTGCCTCCCGCCTGTGGCATCGGAGTTTCATGAGGGCAGAGATTTTTGTGTTTTGCTCGCCAGGGAATTGTCAACGTCTAGCACGGTGCCTGGCACGGAGGGGAGACTGAATCCATACTCGGTGAGTGGACAAATCCTGGGACTTGCCTTCCTCACTTTCCTGTGTGTTTTGTTCCTTCCTGTTTCCTGGATCTCCTGTCTTCTTCTTTCTTGGTTTCCTCCATCATTTGGTGGAGCACATCCATTAGTAACTTTCTGAGAAAGGTCACTCTTCATGTTTGTGTGTACATATTTTTTTTTAGACTCTAGATCTATGTATTTATACGCAATTGCGTTTAGTGTATGGTCTGGCAAATTTCACATGTAAGATGGTAATAAATACTAAGTATCTCCTAGGGTTGTGATGAGAAGTAGGATAAATCTTTAAAAAATGGTTAGCGTTCTCTGAGGACAAGTTGTCATTACTTTGTGAGGGCTACAATAAACACAAAAGAAGGGTTTGTTGGGAGGCAGTTGGGTGCAGTGCCAAGAGCAGGGCCCTGCTGTTGGTCAGGGGTGGTTTTGAGTTCTGTGCTCTGTGACCTAATATATGACTGAGAGTAGGCAGGGCACCAAAGCCTCAGTTCTCTCATGTGAAAGAGGGAGATGGTCACAGTTAACCTCCTGCTCGTAGGGCTGTTGTGGGCAAAATCAGATGTGCTTTTAATCTGTATTAAGGATTATGACGTAGAATAACGTTCTCAGTGTTACCAAGTGTTGAGTGTGGCTTGGCATGGTGGTAAGAGCTGGTATCTACCTTGACCTTGTCTTTGTGTTCACTGAGGGTTAGTGTCCGGAGTGGGGTAACCAATTGGCAATTTTCAGCCTGTATCTAAAGTCCCGAGAGGGATCCCTGTACTTTGGCCCAGCAGTTCCATCTGCTGAGAATTTATCCTAAGGAAATAAATAAAGGTGTCCTACGTGGATCTGTAAGCTATAGGCTGCCTCCAGTGGAGTCCTCCGCAGCCCTCACCACCGGGGAAGATGGCGGTCAGATGTCAGCAGAACTGTACAGGATACTGGATGATGCATTGCTAAGTGAAAAAAGTATCCAAACCGCATAAGCCCTTTTGGGGAATAGGAGTTATATTTACCATTTTGACTGTTCTGTAAGGTGCATCCATGTACAGAACACTGGAAGCTTGGACAAACAGAGGCTGTAGAGCCTAATGGTCAAAGCATAGCCTCTGGCATATGGGTATCAAGATTCTGGTTCTGGCACTGTGAGACCCAGGGCAAGTTATAGAACTGTACTGTGCCTCAGCTTCCTCACCCTTTCAAAAACAGGGGCCACACTAGCAGGGATGCTTACTTAGACATCAGGCATGAAAATTCTTTATTTTTTAAAAAAGATTTTATTTATTTGAGAGACAGAGAGCACAAGCAGGGGGAGCAGCAAAGGGAGAGAGAGAGAAGCATCCTCCCCTCTGAGCAGGGAGCTGGGACCCTGGGATCATGACCTGAGCTGAAGGCAGACGCTTAACTGACTGAGCCACCCAGGTACCCATAGGCATGAAAGTTCTTTAGTAAGAATAAGTGCTAAACAAAAGAAAAGAAAAGAAAAGAAAAAGGAGTAAGAGTTGGGTCAGTGTTAGCAGCTATCACTGCTATTCAAGAATTAACTAGTTAGTGGGCTTATGGATTCGTTTATCTAATTATTCTCTGTATGGTCTAAATAGTTATTTTTCAAAATAAATATATTTCTTTTGGAAATAGAAAAAAAAAGGTTATTTAAAAGTATGCAACTTTGAGGTAACAAAGATGATTGTGATTTTGTTTAAAACAGCATGGTCATAACACAACAGTGTGAATGCATTTAATGCCACTCAGCTGTGCACATGGCAGATGATAAAATGGTTAAGGTAGTAAATTTTATGTCTATTTTACCACAAGCACAAAAAACAACAATAACACCTCATCATTAACAACTACAAGAAAATTCAACATCTCATCAACAGTAACGACTACAAAAAAATCCACAAAACCACAGGCAAAGAAGAAAGTTCTGCAGGTGTCCCTGCGACTATTAGCAGTGATGCCATGGGATTGTTTTCTGCCTTATCAATTGGATTTTATAGCCCAAATTTCCGTCCGTGAACACTGGTCAGTTTCGTAAGCAGCGAAGTTGCGTCTGTCGTTTGCGCGGAGCCCGGCTCCCGATCCCAGCCACGCGTGGGAGCCCAGCCCCGCCGCTGCCTCGGGCGTGACCTTGGCCAGCTCGGCGCCCCTGCGAGCCTCAGTTTCCCCCGTGGGCGCCAGGGATGACAGCTCCCCCCCTCCCCGCGTCTCCCTCCCGGCCCCGCCTTGCGGCCCCGAGATTGGTTCGCGCGGGCCGCCCCCCCTCTGAGGCGGGGCCGGGCCGCTCCCGCCCGCCGGGCCCCAACCCGGAAATGCGGCTCGGGGGCGCCGGCTAGGCCGGCCGAGCCGCGGCGGAGGGACGGCGGGCGCGGCCAATGGGCGCGGGCGGCGGCGGCGGCGCGGCGGAAGTCCCGCCCGGCGTCGCGCGGGGGCGGGGCGGAGCCGGGGGCGGCGGGCGGCGGGGCGGGCGCAGGATGAGGGCGGCCATTGCTGGGGCTCCGCCGCGGGGAGGAGGACGTTGAGGAGGCGCCGAGCCGCGCAGCGCTGCGGGGGAGGCGCCCGCGCCGACGCGGGGCCCATGGCCAGGACCACCAGCCAGCTGGTGAGTGCGCGCCGGCCGCCCGGGCGCGCTGGCCCGTCACCCAGGCAAGCGCGGCGGCCGCTAGGGCCCGGCGAGGCGGGGCGGCCCCGCGTCCCCAGGGCCGGGCGGCGCCTCACCTGCGGCCGGGGGGCCGGGCCGGGGACCGCGGGCTTCGTGAGGGCGCCTCTCGGCCGTCGCGGGGAGGCCGGGCCCTGGCGCGCCGGGCGCCTGCCCGGCGGGGGCGCTGACAGACGCGCGGAGGGCGGGGGAGGCCGGCGAGGTGTCACTGGCTTGTCGCGGTGGAAGTGCTCGGAAAGTTTGTTTTCGGCGCGCCGGGGCCTGGAGCTGAGCCTCCGGGGTTACCTTTCATTCCGTCTGCGAAGGAACCGCCCTGGGCCTTCACCTGGAACGGGGTCCCAGTGCCTCTGCCGCAGCGAAGCGGGAGGGACGAGTTCTTGCTCAGAGCACCTGATGCTCCAGGCTCCCCCCAAATTCACGGTTAGGGTGGAATTTGGTAGACTCCTTTCCCGGCCCGGCGGAGCGGCATTGGGTGCTTTTCCTGCCTTGGGGCTCTTCTCCAGCAGTGGTTTCAAGTGTGGGAAGCCCCAGGGAGGTCGAGCTTGAACCTGCTACCGAGGGGAGAGTGATCGTGACAGCGAGGAGGGATTGCAGGGGAAAAGAAAAAGGAAAGCACTTGTTGGGTGAAATGTTTTGCTTAAAAGTATCGTTAGTGTTTCTATGTTTTTTTCTCTGTTGCTAAAAGTATCCTTGGTGTTTTGATGTTTTTCCCTGTGTTTGAGTTTTGAAGTCGCGAAGGTGGTTTCAGGATTTATACCTTGGGCGCGACTATGAAAATGGGTGATGGAAGCATGTCATCACAGCTTGCAAAATTTGGTTCAAAAGGCAAATCAAAATCACTTAAGTGAATGAAGATCCAGGAAACTTACCTGACTCCTGTTTTTCAGCATACAGCTTTGTAGTAGCGGTTCTTAAGCCTTTTGGGGAGTCTTGAATCCTTTTGAGAATCTGGTGGAAGGTATAAATCCTCTCCTGAGAAAAACACTGAATTACCCCACATTTTGTAATTACTTTAGCAGGTTCTTGAACCTTCTGCAGCTCATCCATGGACTTCAGGCTAAGAACACTGTAGAGATGGGTGATGATCCAGAGTCTTAAGAGGAGGACCTGTTCAGTTGAGAAAATGGTGAAAGGCGAAGGGGCCGTCTTTGACTGTTGCAACATGTGGCTGTACCCTGGGGTGTCTGGGCTAACAGGCAAAAACACGAATTGGGCTTCTTGGCGAGCCTCAGTGGAGGCCGGGGGTGATGACAATCATGGAAGTGTGTAAAATGAACTTTCATACAGCGGTGCTGTTGCAGTGCAAGGTGTGTACTTTGGTGGAGGTCATGACAAGAGGCAAAGAGCATATTTCCTCGTGGTCTTGGTTGTTCCACACGATGGGCATTGGACATCTGGAGTTTTCTTTTTTTTCCTAAAGATTTTATTTATTTATTTATTTGACAGAGAGACACAGCAAGAGAGGGAACACAAGCAGGGGGAGTGGGAGTGGGAGAGGGAGAAGCAGACTTCCCGCCGAGCAGGGAGCCTGGGCTCGATCCCAGGACCCTGGGATCGCTACCCGAGCAGAAGGCAGATGCTTAACGACTGGGGCGCCTGGCAGATGCTTAACGACTGAGCCACCCAGGCGCCCCATCTGGAGTTTTCTTTGCGTAAGTTATCTTTTTAGTGCAAAAATGCTGGAATCCAGTGAGAGCAAATGAATCGTGCTATAAAGGAGAGGTCTCTCTGTCTGGAAGTGAGAGGAACAAGGATTTTGTGTCTTCAACTAGATCCCCTCCCTCCCCGTGTGAGAATTGGCCATATTTCTTCTCAGGAATGGCGGCGTTGCCCCTAATATTGGCTTTTCACCTGAAGACGGACAGATTTGCATCGTTCAAGTGGGTTTACACCTAGATTTCTTAAAAATTATTTACTTATTTATTTATTTGTCCCAGAGAGAGAGCGTGTGCAAGCAGGGGGAGGGGCACACAGAGGGAGAGGGAGAAGCAGACTCCCCACTGAGCAGAGAGCCTGATGTGGGATTCCATCTCAGGACTCTGGGAATCATGACCTTAGCCGAAGGCAGATGCTCAATCAACTGAGCCACCCAAACGTCCCTGCATCTAGATTTTTAAGGTGGCATTGTGTGGAGAAGCCCCCATACCCGTTATTAAATTTTCCCGTTCCTCTAAGCGTGTGCAGCCAACAGGGGAAACAGTACAAATGAAGTCTGAAAATGGCTTAGTCTCCTTTGATTTCTAGGTGGGCCAGAGGCTGGAGGAACTATTTCTTGAGCACTTACTTTAGAAGCAGGCACTTTTCCAGATAGCTCACCCCATGTTGCTTGATTTCTGTTACTAGTG